GACTCCTTATACCCCAACCTGCAGATATGATCCTCCCCTTTCTAACTAGCTCCCAGCATCTGGAGGGGAACTAAACACCTAGAGGTACCTCATGTATACCATCCATCAGGGCATTGAAGTGTCAACTTAATAAGAAATTGGTGCCAGCTGCCTCAAGTTTTCAGATAACTGATAGAATGAATAGATCCTACTTGTCAAAGTAAATAGACCCCTCCGGTGGAAATATAATATGGCCTTCTCAGATGTCAACTCGGCTGTTGTAAGTAAAGGCTGAACAGATATATAATGAAAACTGGTCTCAAGTACTGAAAATCACTAGCCTACAGGCTCTGCCACCATGTCCTTCCCTCCCAAATCTCAGTAGTCAGGTCAGTCACTGATGGCTTCCAGAGACCAAAACCATTAGAATGAACTTTGTGTGCTTTGGAACTTTTTTTATTGTGCGTATGAACTGGAGCTTGTGAGGCAGGGCAGGGAGTGTCAGTGAAGGGGCTGTGATCCTGCTGAAATGAGGGCCTGGGTTAGGGGGTGAGTAGTGGGGACAGAGAGGAGAGGACTGGCACAAGAAGCATTTTGAAGTTAAAATTGACAGTTTATAACTGACTTTATATGAAACATCAATTTTGGTGAGAATCTTAGTGGTTGATGAAATCACATTAGAAAGGTATAGTAAAATGCCATATAAAATATATGGAAGAGATCAATGTGATTTCACAACCTTAAAAAAATGTGTTTACCTCTATCACCAAAATAGTAGCAAGAGAAGCAGCATTTTTACCCAACAGTAACTCTTATTCTCACTCTAGTCACCCAGATTTTAATTTCTAATACTTTTTTGTTTTTAACTAAAAGGAATCAGGTCTCCTTGGGGTTAATTCCATGCTTTGTAGCAGAAAAAAAATAAGGCTGGACCTTGATCTACTTGTTTCCTGAAAGAAATCCAGAATCTGATTTCTTATAGGTAGTGTTAAAAAGGTAAAGAGACCAATGAAGGGAGTTTCCCTAGTTGCACTGATCTGAGGATGAAATAAAATAATAATAACAACAATGGTTAATTAGAAAAGCTGAGTTTATAAAAAGGCCACAAGTCAATAACTTTGTACTTATAGTAAACCATGAAATATTTAAAAAGGTAGTTGTAATAAGTCAATATAATAGATATACATAATATTTTTAATAAGTTGGAAGGTATTGATAGGTATGGGTATTTTGTTTCTTTGTAAAACTGTGTCCGTTAATACAGTACAGACATATATGTAAGCTTCTTTCTATCTGAGGGAAGTGAGGTGACACTTGCAAGGGAGCCAGATGCTCCCGGGAAAAGTGAGCACTGCACTGTGAAGGCAGAAAGGGGTCCAGCAGTTTATTCACCCTGATGGCTACATGCTACAACCGTGTTAATTATAGTGAAATGCTGTAATTAAGACATACATGAGTTTCCAAATAGGCCAACACACCAGACTCAATATGTCATACAGTAAGTTAGATATACCCAGCCTGAGAAAATGTAAAGAAATCTTCACCAAGCCTCAAAAAAAAAAAAAATCTATGTAAGAACAATGAAAGCCTCCTGATGGAAGATATGTGATATTGAAATAGAAAGGGAGGAATGTGATGCCAGCAGATCTGGTTGAATTGACAGAGTGAATAACCAAGTCCCTGGTCCCTAGGCCAAACTCTCAAGTTGCTGACTCTGGACTTTCAGGCTCTGCTGGTCAGAAATGGCTGTTTTTTGTTTTGTGTTTTTTTTACAGGTATGGTAAGACCCTTAATCTTAGGGTGGTGTAAAATTTTTATTTGGTGAGTTACTGAAATCCTGTAACGGTATATAAAACTGGAACACTGAAAAAGTGTAAGAATGACTATGGATTAAAGTACAAAAAATTAAATCCATGGTATTCATATACTTGTGACCAGTTTGATATATTTAGTTTTGTAATTACATTAAGTGGGTCCTTTTTGCTTTTAAGATAATTTAAAACTTTTAAGGGATCTTTTATATCAGACTTGAGATTTCAGTTAAATTCTTAACAAGCAGTAACTGAACACTGGAATATCCATTTTAAGGCATGTGTTAATTCATTGAATGTACTAAAGGGTTATCCTGTTTCCTCCATAGCTGGACATTGGCTGGTTAGGAAAAAATCCTAAAAGGAGATTTTCTTTGTTCCTAGTGAGCATTTTTCTCTCAGAAAAATAAGTTCTTTCACAGATACCAGAAAGTTAGGTATTTCAGCTTTGTAGTCAGACTGTTCTGCGTACAGAAGTCTGCTACTGTTTTTATTGCACATGTGTGTAGTGTGTAGTTTGTATGTATCTGTCCATAAGCCACACAGGGTATTTCTCTGGAGGAACCTAATCAGTTATTTCTCTAGGTTATCAAGGCTAACTCTAAACCTCAGGCATCACATAAAATAAGGAGAAATTGAAGCAATTTTGTACCAAAGACTCAAATTTTACCAGACAATTTAGGAAAGAGTACAAAACGTCATGCCTTAAAATGATCTAATAGTTGACCAGCTCACCATGTTTCCTGTATAAACAAAAGTTTTAAGTCAGTGAATTTTGGTTGCAATTATTGACAGAAGATAGTACATTTCAATTGTTAGTTTAAGATATCAAAAAAGGCGGTATATTCCAGAGTTCACATTTCAGTCACTTCTCATGAGCCAAGCAAGACTTTATAGTTTTACAAATAGAAAGCTCATGGTTTTTCTGGAAGCAGGACAGGGTTGCAAACCAGCCTTTTAATGAAAAAAAATTAAAAAATCAAAAGCTTAGGGATTAAAAGAAAAGTAGGGAAGAAAAAGAGAAAAGTTTAGGGATTAAGCTTTCCCTAATATCATGTGGGTACACAGAAATATTACACAGTAAGAGGTTTCTGAGTTTTACCCAGATTCTGAATACATGTAAGATTTAAGCAACACTAAATCAAATTAGTAGCATGGCATATCCCACCCTCTCTTAATGGCTTCCAACTAGAAAATCATAGGGCAATTAAATGCTGTTTCCATTAAAAATCTCATTCTACTTAGAAATAAGAATTCTGACAGCCCATTAAAATACAAACTCTTTTACAGATTTTCCACTTTACAAAACAGTTAAATTATACAGTAATTAATCAAGTTCCTTTCTGGTTCCCTTAGTTTTAAGTACTAAATGATTCTAATGTATGCAAAATATCAGACTTACCTTTTTCCAGGAATACAGCAATTGTATGATGAATAAAACTCCTTTTTGATGTATTTCTATGGCAGTGTCTTAGGCCATTCAAACCTGATCCCCGTCATAGAGCCGAGGAGTGTTTTGTGTTTTACAGGGGTGCAGGTAGGAGCACAGAGCTACAGTGATGGAGGAAGGAAAGGAATTCAGTTCTCCTGGACCAGCCGGCTTTGGAAAGGGCTGTGCTGAGATTGACACAAGGGTGCCCTGCACATTGTGACATTGGTTCCCAGTCACAATGTGCAGGGCACCCTTGTGTCAATGTGATGAAGCCTCATGGGAAGGAATGATTGATATCTGTAGTTGGCAGAAGTCTCCAAGATGCTGTTCTATCAGCATGATATGCGTGCTTGTCACACACACACACACACACACACACACACACACACCCATACACCCCACCACCCCCACCCCACCCCTCCCGGTATCACCAGTGTCTGAATGCTGTTGGTCACAGCCCATGCAGATCAGCCCAGGTGAGTTGAATTATAGCTGATGAATTCTTTGGTTGTAAATGTCTTGTTCTTCTCCACAGATTACCTATGTCTATAAGGTTGACAGGAACTTTGCCTGTTTTTGTTTGTCTGTTTTGCTGTCATTTCTACATTGAACCATTGTTTTTTTCTGGTACAACATTTAATATAAAAATCAGGGACCTGACAGGCTAATGCACATGTTGTAGCTTAAAAAACATAACGCTATCACCTGACTTATTTTTTGTTTGCTTCCACCTTTTCCATGTATTTGATTATCCTTAGAAACATCTTGAAATTTAAAAAAACATATGTTTATGGATGAAAAGATATGTTTATGAGCATGCACCTATAACAAGGGACAGAAACTGCCTCCAGAAGAAATTTATACAAATCTGTTAATTTACTACAAAATGTCCACTCACAGAAAAACATAAGAAAACTTTTATATTTTTATATTTGGGAAAGGAACTGTGTCTCAGAAAATACTTTACATATAATCCATACAATTTTATATAGAAATAGTTAATCATTACAACAGCTGTACTATACTTCATCTTGTAACTACATAAAATCTTTTCTTTAGAAATATCTCAACATAAGAAACATACAAAAAATAAAGCAAAGTGCATTTTGAAAAGGAAATCCGGTCCTGGGTCTTATCGTGGAAGATGTGTAGCAGGGGACAGTGTTCTCGCTCACAGGTTCAGTGCACACAGAGGGGCATCCATGGGGCTGGGCATCCATGGGGCTGGGCACCCCATAGGCCTATCTGGCTTGTGAAACCTTTTCATGACCTTTCAGTTCACAAGATTCTGGATTGTCAGCTGCATCATTGTGCTTTGCTCTGAGTTGTCTAGTAGTTGCAATCAATAAAGTAAACAAGAAGGAAACAATCCAGTGTTATAAAAGTAATCACCAGCATAGTGTGGTACTCAGGCTGGAGATTGTGTGCCTGGTGAGTGATGACCAGCTTTGCTCTCTGACTGGTTAGCTATTTTGTTACTGTAGTCTCCAAATGAAGTCATAAGACATTTTTTAAAATGAAAGTGCCTAAGTTACCTTCTCTGTGCAGCTGTGCAAATTGAAACAAAAACAACCATTTAAAAATAATGAAAAATAATCTCTTAATTCTCTCAAGTAGATTTTTAACGGTGCTTCTGGAATTAAAACATGATTAAGAGGGTAAAGGCCAACTAGTACTTGTGGATGGGCTACTACTGGCTAGACTGATCAGTGTGCTGTCGGGAAGGTGCAGTGAGACCAGCCATCTGATAAGGTAGACTGAATCATGATGTCCAAGTATGGCTGTACAGTATGCCAGAGGAGTGCAGAAGTAATGGAAACTCAGCCAGTATTCCTGATCATGCCCACATGCCACCCGTGGTTCTCCAGAGATGATTACCATTGAGAAGATCTGAAATGTATGCTGTGTGTGCAAAGGCCAACAGTTTAGTTCAAAATCTTCCCCTCCCCCTTATCTGTCCGTTAGTTAAAGCTGACTGAGGTGCCAGGGTGCTACTGGGGCAGCTGCTGGAGGACTGAGGACTCAGACAGGCTGCTGACCCTTTGAGGAGATCGAGGGGGCTGGGGCTGCGGGGCAAAGCCCAGGGTCCCTGGCTGCTGTGAGTAGGTGGAGAGAAGTGGTGAGTCCTGCTGCTCACTGTGCAAAGAGGTTGACACCTATACCTAGAAAGGAAAGGAAAAGGGCTCCAGAGGTGCTTCTGTGATTCCACAACTCCTCAGCTGAAATGCAGATTTAGACAGACTACAGGACTCTTCTCCATGGCTGGGGGGCTTGTGGTGAGGGCTTTGGTGGGACTGTGGAGGGAAGAATGTGCATGGGGGAGAAAGAAACCCCATGCTCTACCAGATGGTGAATTGTGAAGGCAAGATTAAAGCCAGCACAAGGGTTCCTTCTGGCCCAGTGAGTCTGTGTGGACTGAACATGTACACATGGCCCACATGTAGCTTGTATGTTTCTGGATATTGGAAGCTCACCCACATGCAGATAGTATGGCAGAATACAAACATGCATGTAATCTGCACACTTTCACTAGTGGTTCCTGATCCCATAACTCCTTCCAAATACTGCCATTTGTAGCACCTATTAGGAAACATCCTCATTTGCAGGTCAGAAACTCTCAACTGGCCAAAGCCCAACTTCAGAAACTTGGACCCTTCAATCTCACCTCCCACTATTGCCATTCACTCTGTTTTCAAAGCTGCTGGGGCACACCTACCTGTCTAATTTGGCTAAGGCTGTTTCTCTTACTACAATATTGGCCCTTCAACTCCACACCTTAACCTGCACTTCAAGTATTTCCCAAGTGTCCAGCTCTACAGCAGGACACTGAATTCTTTTCACAGAGAGGCCTCCCAGCTATAGTGCTCTCAGCACTAACCCAGAGCCTGTTTGCTCTGTGGCAAGCTCTTTCCACACTGCATATAGGCCCTGAGGGCATCAAGGAGACCTGAGTACTCTGTGCAGCCTGAGCCTTGCATCTTTGTTGCTACCACTGAAGAAATATCTGGGAAGCCCCTAACTCACCCTCAGGCTCTGCCTGCCTCTTCACAACATCAGTTCCCATCCCAAATCATGTCTGACGTGTTAAACAAGTTGACAAGATACACAAAAATGAGTCTTGAGTTGATTCCCACTATGCCTGGGATTAGGGAGATTTGAAAATTATACTACAGATAATTTAGTAGCTTTGGAATTAAATTACATAGATTCTGGTTCTTCAAGGATGATTCTTTTTATTTCTAGCCCACTGCTTTCAAAATGTCTGCCACTGCACAATTTGTTTTCTGGGAAAGCCCAACTTCAGGCAACATCATATTTATTAAGGAAATCTGATGAGTCTTTAAATATGATTTAATTTTATATTTGTAAAAGGCTCTGATATAAGCACACTAGCAAGTCCATCAAACAGTTATCAGGGTCTTATTCTTTAAAAATACAGACACTAATAAAAACTGCTTTTTAAAAAATGGGCCTTTTTAGTACATAACCATATGAGGCATAATAGCTGATGCTAAATTTCTTATACTGTGTATATTTATAACTTTTGAGAATTATGGACTTTAGAAACTATAAAGATTCAACTGCAAATCTGTTAGGGGCATATTTCAGTCCTGAGGACTAAAACCAATTCTAAAACAAGGTAGGAAAAGGTGTGGGCTTGGAGCTAGGCCCTGTCTCCCTGGCTCCAAGATCGCCCAGCACCCACCTGCAGGAAGTGCTGCTGAGCCTGCTGCTGGGCGTGTGTGGGCTGCAGGGGTGCTGGCTGGGACCTGGGGAAGTTGGGATGGAACACTGCTTGTCCCATCATCAGGATGGGGGTTGAGGCGCTGCTGCTGGTGCTGTGCACATCTGCATTTGGAAACACGGCCTGGCTCTGGATACCTGTTTGGTTTCATATGGGAAGGAAAAAACAGACTTAAAAAAGAGGTGTTGATAGGACACCAATAGCACAGGCAACAGTGCAAAAGACGATAAATTCGATCTAATCAAAATGAAAAATGTGGCCTGGCTGGTGTAGCTCAGTGGACTGAGTGCGGGCTGTGAACCAAAGGGTCACCAGTTCGATTCCCAGTCAGGGCACATACCTGGGTTGCGGGCTAGGTCCCCAGTGGGGACCACATGAAAGACAAGCACACATTGATGTTTCTGTCTCTCCCTCTCTTCCCCTCTGTCTAAAAATAAAAATAAACAAAATCTCTAAGAAAATGAAGACACATCAAAGGACATTGTCTACGGAATGAAATGGCCAGCCAGCAAAAATATTTGCAAGTTATATATCTATAAAGGGATTGATATCCAGAATGTGAAAAAAGCAAACCTGATCAAAACATAGGCAAAAGTCTTGACATTTCTCTGAAAAGATAAAAATGATCAATAAACACATAAACAGTCTCAATGTCAGTGATCATTAGGGAAATGCAAATCAAAATAAGATATATCCATCATGATGGCCATTATGGGGGGGGAACCCCAAAATAACAAGTGTTGATGAGTATGTAGAGAAATTGGAACCTGTGTGTCCTGTTGGTGGGAACTTAAAATGGTGCAGCCACTGTGGAATACTAGTGATTCCTTAAAAAGTGAAACATAATGCTCTCCAGATCCGCCCATGCTGTCACCTACACAACAAAACAAGCAAAATAGAACTATAGAGACATCAAAATAAAGAACAAACTGACAGTAACCAAATATTGGGAGAGGGATAATGGGTGGAGGGGTAGGGGAAGGGTCATCAAGGAGCATGTATAAAACACATAGACAAAGCTAAAGGATTAGGATTGAGGGTGGAGCTGGGGTGGTGGTGGGGGAAGAATGGAACTGTACTTGAACAATAAAAAAATGAAAGTGAAACAAAATTCATAAATATATGTACCTATACCCTCTTCTAGAAACAATTCTATAAAATTTTACATTAAAAAAAAAAACATGAGACATAAAATTGCCACATGATCCAGCCATTCCACTTTTGGGTATATGCCCAAAAGGAGTGAAAGTATGGGCTCAGACAGATATTTATATATCCATCTTCACAGCAGCATTACAATAGCCAACACAATATCCATTCCACACTGTCCACACTGTGTGGATAGTCCACAATATCCATAGGCTGTTAAGGAAGGGTCTGGAGGAGCAGAGATGAGGAACAGGTGCTTAAAGACACTAAAGAGAAGTCCAGTTTACAGTATATTTTTAGAAATGTCATTTCTGTATTTGGGGTCATTTAAACGGGATTTGAGGGTTCTAAATTTCCCCTGAAGAAGCCTCTGTGTGTGGGAGGCACAACCAAACACATCCTAGGAGATGGAATGTTAGGTTATGTCTGGGAGAGATGGTGGGGAAGACAGATAGTATAAATCATTGGGATGACTGAGAATGACTGAGTTCCCAGAGGGAAGAATTTCCATTTTTGCCTAGTTCAGTGCATTGTAAGCATCTCTGGAAAAGTGATATAACAAGATTCTTTGTTCCCATTTATTTGGACCTAAGGAAGAACAGGGAAAATCCAAAACCAACCCCACCACCACCGCCTGACTTAGAGCATCATTGAAGAATTAGAGGCAGCTTCTACACTGTGCACTCCCTCCCCCCCCCCACAGGGTTTTTATAGAACAAAATGAAATGATGTAGTTACAGTTCACTGACCCTCATAAAATTTCAGCAACTATCTGCTGTTACTAGTGTAAGTGGTGGAGGGAGGACACAGGAGAAAGGGCTTCTGGGGAAGGTCCTAGGGGATGGCTGTAAGGCCTCTCTCTGTGGGAGGGCATGCCAGGCCTAATTAGCTGGCACTGTCCTGGTGAACTACTATCACAAATCACTATTTATATAAAAAAGATATTTATATTAAAGAGACATGAAATAGTTCTTCTTATGCTTCATTTCATAGGGCCAGACACTTCCAGTAGCTGTTCAAGTATTTGCTGTCTCCAGTAACCTTTGTCTCTAGAATTAAACAGCCAAGCAAAGCTGCTTCTGCTCCTGGGGTTTCTCCTGGGAAAAGGAGAGATGGTTGTGTGTCTGGGAGGGACAGAGGGTCCACATTGCAAGGTCTCACAGTCCTGCAGCATAGTTCTAGACTCACAGAGCAGACTGTGTGCCTGTGAAATCTGCCAGCATGTGCTGGTCAGCTGGAGCCAAGGGCTACATTTACCTGGGACACTACTGAGGGTGAAGGCATTTAGACCTGTAAAGACATCAGAGGATGATGAAAAGCTAGGGACATGATTAATTGTTTCATCTGGGTCCTGTTCTAAGCATGGAACACTCACACAAAGTTTTATTTACTCAAATGAGAAATGGTGGAAGAAAAGATGAGGGAAAGGTCTTTCAAAGGATGTGGGACTCGGGGAGCTGTGGGTCCAGGCAGGTAAGAGCCTGCCAGCCTGGGACCATCTAGTGGAGCTCTCAGCCTCCTCCCTCCACTTGGCCACCTACTTGATGTGCTGTCCAGTCCTGCCAACCTCATAGGTCTGCCTTGCATCACAGGACCCAGGCATCATGGGCTGGACTGGCTGGCTCAGCAATAGCCTTGGAGCAGAGGAAGAGACAAATGGGAAATTGATTAGCACCCAAACTGTAGACCTGCTGGTTGATTGCAGTATGTGTCTAGCCTGGATGGGTCATTTCTGTCTGCAGGAATCCCTTTGCCTGCTCTTCTCAGAGGATGAGGAACACAGCAGACCATGTCCGCTGGCCATCAAGACCGCACTGTCTCTTGCCTCTGCATTAGTGGAGATCAGTTACAGAGGCCTGAGAATTGGAACTTTGCTGAAATGAGGAGTCTCAAGCTCAGCCTTAGTTATCTGATAAATAAGGACAGGCTCCCTACCTGAGCTGCCTATCATGGCTGAAGTCCAGGCTGGACTGGCTCTGGTTGGTGTCCTGGGTGTTAGAGGCCAGTGTGGTCAGGCTGCCCACATGGTGGTGACCTGCCAGTATCATCTGCATGCTTCTGGTTGACTTGGGACCCTGAGCCTCATTTTAAAGAGAAAGGCAAAACTTAGACTTTGCTCAGCTGTCATCTCCCCAGGAACCCTCCCAGAACCTCCCTCCTCCACTCTCCTAGGTCTCTTGTCTACCTTAGAACCTACTGACTATTTATTATTTTGATCTTGTGACTGTCTTTGCCATTAGATTATAAGCACCCCAAGGATTCTCTGGATCCTGGGGCCTAGGACAGTGCCAGGCTTACAGTAGACAAGCCACAAATGTGTGTTGAATTGAACAACTTTCTGCTTAACAAATTCCCCTGCAGACACAGGATCCTCAGCTTCCTCCTATACCAGGTCCTTTGCATTTGCTGATTCCTGCATGTGCAAAGCTCTTCCCACCACCAACATGCCCATTCCCTCATCCTGCAGGTCTTTGCTTCAGTGCCATCTTCTCAGGCCTTTTCTGGCCACCTGGTTAAAACTTCAACCCATCCCCTACTTCACCAGTGTTCCTGTGTTGCCATTGACATGCTATGATTTTTACTTCTCTCTCTCTTCCCGCTGGATCAGAGATTCTTTTTGGTTCACTGATGTCCCTTGGTTCCTAGAACTTAGTGCCTGGCATGCAGTAAATGCTCAATAGATTTGTTGAATGAAATGATCAGTGAGTGAGGGGATGAGTTTGGGTTTGCTTTTGAGTTTTCTACTCTGTTTCACTAATTGTCTACTAACATGATGGCACCACAGTGTATTAATTCTCAGAGCATCTCCAAAATCTTTCAATATCAGATAGTGTCAATCCTGCCTCAGTTTTTCTTTCCCCATAATGTCCTGGCTATTCTCAGCCATTGATTTTTCTGTTGACCTTTAGAACAAAAAGACTGAATATTAAAGTAAAACTCTTAAGTTTGGGTGAAGATGGACTAAACTCTCTGCTATATGTGCTTCTCCACATTTTATTGTTTACATTCCTAGAGGTCCCACTAGACTACAAGCTCTTTCAGGTCAAAGACAACTCTTATTCCTTGGGGGGGCTGTGAATAGCAGGAGCTCCACAGAGGCTCACTAGATCCACGACTGTATGTGTGAGTACAGGAGGCTTGAGGGGAAGCTGTGTCCTGTTGATCCTCCAGAAGTAGGTGCTCAAGACCTCTCAATTCCATTGAATTCTAGTGCTATTCACTGTCAGGTAACAAGGCCACTGGTGACTTTTAGTTTGTGGTAATAGTGTGAAGGAAAACTTGGAAGGGAATCTGGGGGATGAGGATCATGGTGGTCCTGGGGAAAAAAACAACAAACAGAAGTGGGTGACATGTGTTCTCACACTGATAGTGGCTAAAACCAGGAGTGGATGATAGAGACTTGTGGGGACACATGCATGAGGATGTTTACCTGGGTTGATGTCACACTTGATTCTCTGAGTAGGTGCTGGTCTGTGACCTGGGTGGAGGTTATCTGCCCTGGAAGCTGAGGGTTTGTGGTGAACGGGGACTGGGGCCCTGAGGCTGACCTCTGAGGGAGCTGCTGTTGAGCATCATGCCACTGGGCACTGCTAAAACTCAGGGATACAGCTGGCTGCTGCAGAAACATCTGGAAGCATAACAGGAATGCCTTTAAGGAGGAGTCAGGGCCTCTACAGGTCTGCACTTGTATCTTCTGTTCATGGGAAGAAGTCTGCTTTCTCACTCTCACTGAACATGGAGACATGAAGTGCCCAGATACCACAGCACAGGACAAGGTCCCTGAAACAAAGCACTGGCCAAGATAGAGACACTGACCCTGACTCAAGAAGGTTATAGACTAGTGATGGGAGTCTATATGGGAGTCTATGGGAGTTCAAGATGCTTACACCCATATGGTCTATGAATAAATTGACATGTAAACCTGAAACTAATACAAAATAATATTGAATATAAACTGTAATTGAAAAATAAAATTTAAAACTAAATTGGTGTACTTGCATGGAGTCTAGGCTGGCTTATTAGTTTATTATTAGAAGGGAGGAATATCTTGTGAATGGAATGAATGACATGATAATGGGGGCAGAGAGTTGGCTAACTTGTGGCATGGATCAGGCCCTGTGCCCAGCCTTGAATCTCTGATCGATGACCAGGATTTGTACCCCTATTGTAGATGGGGATTTTCCACCCACTGCTCCCAGCCAGGATGGCAAATTTGCTCTCACTGATAAGGTGACTTACTCCAGGAAGGCAAAGGGGTATGGAGATGATGATGTCATATCAAATCCATGTACTTTAAAATCATGTTTAAGAGTAAGCTTTATAGTCTTTGTGATACTCTCAATACACTATGTTATCTAAGATGTCTCCAAAATAATTTAAGAGGCTGTGATACATTAACCTGGTGATTTTAACTTGAAAGGTTTAGGGGAATTTGGTCAAGTTTGTAAAGAGTGTTGAAGTGTTTGTGAGAACTTTGATCTACCTTACTTATAAGATTGGTATATTTGATTAAAAAGAATTGCTTAGGTGCTTACAAAGATTTTACTTCTTAGACTTCCAAGTCTGCCTTGTTAGTTATGGGAAATGTTTGAAAGATTTAGGTATATTAAATTTGTAAAGTAATAGTTTTGGTAGGTAATGTTGATTAGCTATGATCTGTTAAATTTATAAACTAATTAAACATAAATAAAAAAGTAAAAACATTGCTTTTTTTAGACCAAATTAGTAGATTTGTAAATACACGATAATCTGTACTTTGAGTGCAGAGGCTTAGGAAAAACAACTTTAATATTTTTAATAATAATTCAAACGTAAGACCTGTAACTAGTTCTTTTACAGAAGCTTCTCTTGGGCATTTAAAACTAGTGATTACTTAGGCAGCGCAAAGAGTAATATTACTTATATATTCTGACTCTTGACAAACTGTTCCACTCCATTTTAGGCCTTTACCTTTGAATTCTTCAGGGAAGGCTCTCTTTCTCCTAGCATCTGGAGTTTGAACTCCAATTACTGCAATCAGTGAGGTAGCCTCATACCCAGTACAAAACCAACAAGCAACATTTGCTCAGTGGTTTTGGGATGGTGGATGTAGAACCATGCCAGGCAGATGCTTGGAAGAGTACTTGAATGTCAGGCACTTCAAATGTCTAGTGCAGAGCTGGAGTCAGCATCTTCCAGAGGCCTGAGGTCAGTGGGTAGCCTAGCTTGACTAGTTTTCCCATGTAGTGTGCTTCCCATCACACCACCTGTTCCCCATTTTCCTGTCACAGATCCAGCCCCAACAGAGGAGTCTGCAGTGTGAAATGAGGGCTCTTTCTTACTTTAGAAGTTAAAATTTTTTTCTGGGTATCCATCATTTCAGATTTACTATCCATTTAGTACGGATTCAGTCTGAGGATTAGATTAGTGCTTTGTGTAATTCCTGTTACCCATTATAACATGACTTCTTTATAGCACATGGGGTGACTTAGACTTTACTTCATACTCAAACCAAACCAAATAACATATTTTTTTCTGGTAGGATACAAGTTACCTTCTAATTACAGCTCAAATAAATACAATATTTATTTATGACAGGCTATACTCTAGCTTAAATTAGACATACCTTAGCTCAAATCCAGCCCTACCAACCTTGGGTGATTTTTATAACTTTCTTTTTTAAAGATTTTATTCATTTTATTTTTAGATAGAGGGGAAGGGAGGGAGAAAGAGGGAGAGAAACATCAATGTGTGGCTACCTCCCACACACCCCTCATTGGGGACTGGCCCAAAACCCAGGTATGTGCCCCAAATGGGAATTGAATCTGAGACCCCTTGTTTTGCAGGCCGGTGCTCAACCCACTGAGCCACACTAGCCAGGGCTGCTTTTCAAAGCCTTAGTTTTCTCATTAATAAAAGCGACACTAACAGCACACATCTCATAACACCACATGTACTTGGTTTGCTACTGTGTTCCATTAATGTATGGTTTTCTCCTGCTTAGCTCTGTATGTCCAAAGTGCCTAACCAAGTGCCTGGGCATCTGCTGGCTGGTTGGCTGGATGTAAGACGGATGGGTTGGTGGATAGATGCAGGGGAGGCATAAATGGAAGAAAGAAAGGGGCCCTAGCTGGTGTGGCTCAGGGTATTGTGTGCTCACCTGTGAACCAAAGGGTCGCCAGTCGGGGCACATGCCTGGGTTGTGGGCCATGTCCCCAGTAGGGGGTGTGCGACAGAGGCAACCACAGATTGGTGTTTCTCTTCCTCTCTTTCTCCCTCCCTTCCCCTCTGCCTAAAAATAAATAAATAAAATCTTCAAAAAAGAAAGGGTGGAGGAACAACCATAGCCCTTGTTACCTGTCCTTCCAGACATTTCTTTTAATGGCCAGCAGAGGGCGCGCATGCTCTCAAAAAGGGAAGAGAGGCAGCCTTCCCAGAACTGCAAGGAGGCAAAGGAGCCCGTCAGTTCAGCGGTTTCCCTCAGGTGCCCTCTTCTCTCTGACTACATCCAGGTGCAAACATCGACACACACAAGAGGACCACTCTCTCACAACCCAATCTTTTTAAAAATAATACTTAGCAAACAACGCTGGCACACAGAGTCTCAGTGGGAGCTCCAAGCCCAAGAGTAGAGTAGGAGAGTTTACTGTGTGAGGACAAAGGACGAGTGGGGGTAGCCGTGATGTGCGGCTGCACACAGCCAGCTGTGACTCCTTGAAAGGGCTCCAAAGTTAATTGTACAGGCAGAAAGAGGAAAACAGTTTCCTAATTCAAGTGGAAAAATTATCAGTGAAAAAAATATACTTCTGATTTTCAAGAACCAATGCTGCACACATATGTGGTTTTTCATTATTTTTATCTGCTTACATCAATGAATATTAATGATTCCAGAATATTTCAGATGTACACAAAATGGAGATAGTGTGCAGTAAAACTCCATGTATCATTCATTATGCTTCTACAATTATAAACGTTTTGCCATTGTTAGTTAATCTACTCCCACTTTGAGGGGAGGAGTTTTGCCATTGTTATTTAATCTACTCCCACTTGGTTTTCTTTTTTTGTGTGTGATGTGAAATTTTTTTTATTCTTTATTTTTAAAATAATTTTTATTTATTATGTTATTACAGTTGTCCTATTCCCCCCTTTATTCCCCTCCACCCTGTATCCCTTTCTCACCCACACTGACCCTCTTAGTTCATGTCCATGGGTCCTACATATAAGTTGTTTGGCTTCTCCATTTCTTATGCTATTCTTAACTTCCTGCTATCTGTTTTGCACCTACTATTTATACTTCTTTTTTTAAAATATATTTTATTGATTATGCCATTACAGTTGTTCTATTTCCCCCCTTCATTCCCCTCCACCCTGCATACCCCTCCCCCACCATTCCCCCTCTTTAATTTATGACCACGTGTCTCAAGTTCTTTAGATTCTATATTTCCCATACTGTTCTTGCTCTCCCCCTATCTATTTTCTACCTACCATCTATGCTACTTATTTTCTGTACCTTCTCCCCCTTCTTCTCCCACTCCCCTGTTGCTAACCCTCCATATGATCTTCATTTCTATGGTTCTGCTCCTGATCTAGCTGTCCTCTTAGTTTGCTTTTGTTTTAGGTTTGGTTGTTACTAACTGTGAATTTGCTGTTCTTTCACTGTTCATCTTTTTTATCTTCTTTTATTAGATAAATCGCTTTAACATTATGGCTCAAGAAGAACAGCTCAAAGCCCCAGAGCCAATAACTCTAAGCAGTGAAGAAATAGCCAAACTCTCAGATGCACAGTTCAAAACACTGGTGATCAGGATGCTCACAGAACTGGTTGATTTTAGTCACAAATTAGAGGGACATATGAAGGCTAAACTAATTGAAATGAAGGGAAACACACAGGAAACCAATAATAGTGGAAAGGAAACTGGGACTCAAATCAAAGGAGTGGACCAGAAGGAAGAAAAAAATGACCAAACAAAAGTATGAAGAAACAAGAATTCAAAAAAATGAGGAGAGGCTTAGGAACCTCCAGGACATTTTTAAATGTTCCACTTGTTTTTCTTATGGTTGAATTATATAGTGTCTTTTATTTCTAAACAAATATCACACTTTGGTTAAATATTTTGGAAGGCATTTCTTTAAATCTCTAAACTTGAAAAATACAAAAAGGCTGATTGTTGGAGGAAATGTTCTCTGGTTGATTATCTGTGGATTTTCATGTTCTCTGGATAATCCCACAGCAAAGATAATATCACAGGAATGAAGCAGGAGGGACACACCAGGATGGAGCTGAGGGCTTTTTTTCCACATTACTACTCACAGACCCAGGTGCTCACTGGCATATGTGATTTGGGGGTTAACAAAATGCACTGGTCATAAGGAACAAAAAGAATAATTCCTTGTATTAAGCCTGGGTTGGGTGCTGGGAAAGACATAACTTGTGTTGCCTTATATTTTAGAGTCTAGGCTTTATGTTTAAAAGGTGGAAAGTAGAAAAGTCTGGGCTCTGAGGAAGATGTTAATATGCCTACCTACCTTGCTTTCAGCAGTTTCTGGCTTAACTTTCCCCTTCCTGTGTTAGTGTAAAAACTCCTTTCAATTAATTGAGTCAGGCAAGTTCTATCAGTTGGACCCTGGATCAGTGAGAAAGAAGTACAGCTAGGGAAGAATGAGTAAAAGGGTCTTAGACACCTTAGTGATTCCATTTCTTTTCATGTAAATGGTTCAGTCTTTCCCCTCATCAATGTCAGGGTTGTCCCTGGAGAGGGTTGGCTGGGGCAGAGCAGCAGGGCTCTGAGGGTGGCTGTGGCTTTCTCAGCAAAGTTTGGGCACATGTACACAAACAGGAGCTGTCAGTCTTGCTGAGCTTTGATCTCTTTGAGGAGCCAGCCTTGGGCTCAGAGTGCTGTGCAGGGCATCTCTAGGGAGTCCAGGTGTCCCCCGTTGCCCAGTAACTCCACACCATTGCATGATGCCTGCACGTGGCCTGCTCATTGGGGTTTCACTGCACTTGAGGAGCTGTGTGGAAAGTGAGGGGGTGGGGAAGGGACCATGCTCCAGCCATTTTCCCTAGGGGTCTCTTCTACTTTACGTCTTTCCTAATGAGGTACAAAGGCTTAGAGCTCTCAGGAAAAACTCCCAAGTAGCTAGAATTACATTTACAGTTAAAGGTTGAGTAAAAAATAATGCACTTTGGAAGAAAAACAGTCCTGGACTGACATAAGTGACACTTAGTAAAAGTAATTTAACTTTGAAATAGGCCCAAAATCAGGATCCAGCACAAATAACCCCGTCTTTTTATGAGCTAGTAATCTATACCAAATCTTTTATTACAAAATCTTAAGCATGCAATTCTGTAACATAACAATATCATACTCAAGCACACCATATGAAATTTTAGGTGAAATGTTCAAGTTACCATCCATCTCAATGGAGACCTTTATGTACTCTACCAACCACACTCAATGGCATTTCTTCTGCTGGACTCTATATAGGTTTCCTCTGAGAGGAAACTCTCAAAAAGATTCAGAAAGTGACAACTGGGATCACAGAAGCTGCTGCCATTAGTGCCTGCAGAGCATTCCAGTTTGGTTGACCTCCAGTCCCCAGTCCCTCTGCTGTCCCCATTAGGGTGCAGATGTCATCACTTCCCACACCTCCTACCTCTGCTTTAACTGAGAAGAAGCAGAAGCAGAAGCAGAGCTGCCCCCATGTCTCTGTTGGCAGCCTGGGCTGGGTGCTGGGAATACGGAATTACACAGGAGCTGGAGTTTATAACTCATAGGATGGAGTCTGGCATCAGCCCAGGGTGATCCACCTCCAAACCCGTGAGTAAAAATGCAGGTGAGGCAGCAAATATGTACCAAACAGAGACAGGGGAGAGTGAAGAGGATGACATGCAAACTTTATGTTTGGCCAAGAGTTGGGGACAAAGGAGGTGGTGTTTATTCTTGTACTCCTTCCATGGAGGTTTCAACATTGCTCATAATCAGGCCATAGAGGGGTACTGGGGAGGGTGCTCTGCCTTTCCTGCAAGGGTGGATCAGGACCCATCAGGGAGCATGGAAGACAGGCCACACTGGACCACTGGCCCAGCAGGGGCATCACCTGGATGCTGGAGTCCTGGACCAGGCACAGCTGCTCCTGGATCCTGTGGAGCTCCTCCTGCTGCCACCGGATGTTGGCCTGCAGGACCCGTGTGCGCTGCTCCAGCTGGCCTTTAATGGTCTGGAACATGCTGGACTGTGCTGGAAACTTCAAGGTAGAGTCAGAAACATACCAGATGAAAGAGTTATTTCTGCCTCACAGACAGATGTTGCTGCTGTTCTGAGTGGCCCTGCCCACTTTCATTTCTGTCCCTTCTCTACTCTTTTCAGAGTCCCTACTAAGTGATCCACAGCCAGAGTAGGAGTGAGCTTTTCTCAGGCCCACCAGAATCTGCAGTCTTACTTGTAGTCTGGAAGGGCCACTGGACTGGGACATGTTTTTATAAGCAGTGTGTACAGACTGGTATGTCCAATCTTGTCAGATAGACAAATGGTTTTGGAGATGAATTCCAAAAGCTTCAGATAGCTCCTCCCACTCTTTTTTCCTCTCATCTAGGGCAAGAAGATTTGCATGTGATGGCTTCACAGACACTTTTGGGTCCTATCATTCATCATCCTAAATCTGATCCTGGAGAGCAGGGGGTGTTTTGTAACCACTCCCCAGTGAGCTTGAATTTGATGGTAACTTTCACCAGAGCCCTGCTGTCCAACCAGCCAGTCTGGGAAGAGGGAGGACTTGTTACTCTCCCTCCCCTCACCCAGGTTTACTTGTGGCTAGGGATTTCTTAGAAATCTGTGCATAAAAGAACTAAGGAGAAAAATAGTACAATCACGTAACATGTAGGAGGAACACCGATATCTGTTTTTCCAAGAGCACTGTCTCCTCTTGCTTACTTACACCTCTCAATTATTTTCTGGGACAGAGGTAAAGTCTTGCAGGTGATCTCTGCTCCCTGTCACCACCTATTTACCCAGACACAAGGCCAATGGAGAGGGGGATTACGGGATGGGAGGTACATTCAAAACTACCTATGCTATTATTATTACAAAAATCTTCATCAGAATGTAAGTAATCAAAGCACTCAGCTAGGATTTTGAAACAGAATTCAACTGAGAAAGAAAATAAGCTAGGTCAGATAATTTAAGAAAAAAAACCACAAAGCTTCTGTGGTAAGTGCTTAAAAGCCAGGACGTACTCAGGGGTGCTTCTGCTGCATGCAGTCCAGACTTTCTGGGTTGAGAGATGGGGCAGTCCTCTGGGGCCACCACTGGGCTTCATAAGTGGTACTTCTAGTATGACTCCTATTTTCTCAAGGCATTCAGGACACTCAAGCATTATGATCATGATCTTGGACTTTATCATAAAGAGAACTACTCTAACTTAGAGACTTTTAGTAATGGTATGAAGCAAAACCACTAGTTTCCAAGATTTTGGATTTTGTTTTTTTCTTCTTTCCTGACAAGGTGCTACAATAATAACCTTGGTGACAGCAAGGAAGAAAACTGTAGAATTCATTGTTGCACATGGGGTAGGTATGAGGAAAACTGTTTGACTTGAAGGGTGAACATTATGCAAAAATGTCTTAAGGAATATAGTTATTGAGTATAATATGCCCAATAGACTAAGAACTATTTTATTAATTAAAACAAGGTTTGCTGTCCTGGCTGGTGTAGCTCAGTGAATTGAGCGTGGGCTGCAAACCAAAAGGTCGCTAGTTCCATTTCCAGTCAGGGCACATGCCTGGATTGTGGGTCAGGTCCCCAATAGAGAGCACCCAAGAAGCAAGAAGCAACCACACATTGACGTTTCTCTCCCTCTCTTTCTCCTTCCCTTCCCCTCTCTCTAAAATAAATAAAGAAAATCTTTTAAAAAATGAGGTTTGTTAAATGTAGAAAAGGGCCTTAACCACTCAGCATATATTTATTATAAAACAAAAATTCTTGACTATGCAAGATCTGCAGTGAAAGGAATTCTCATTTCCTGTTCCTTTGGATTGAGAAAGTTATTAACTGCATTATCGAATTTGGCATGGAAATTTGAACATAAACAATTCTTTATTTTTTCCCTAATGGAGGTGAATACAGACTGATTAGTTGACTCCGAATGAGTAACTTTTACATCTTTACTCAAACCTGACTCTGGGAAGAGGCATGTGTTAGCTTGTGTTTTTCTTCTTTCAGGGACATTTAAGACCACTACTGACAGGGCCTAGGCCTCAGGCTTGTCACACATTTCCATAATTCACTGTTGAAGCACATACTTGGGTCCCTCTTCCCTGCTGACCCTGACCCTCTATCTCTCCATCAGGCTACCTCCCACTCATCCTTCCAGGTTCAGATCAGGTGTCCCCTCCTCTGAGGTGAAAATCCACATAGGATTTTCCTAGGCAGAATATTTTCTTACTGGTTCTATAAAAACACATGGCCTGTCATGGTGGCTGATCTCTTTATATGCCCAACTTCACTTAAAATACAAACAAGGGCTGTGTTACAGCATCTCTGCAGCTCTCACTCTAGCTCAGAGACAGACCCAAACAGGAACATGTGAATGTTGTTGAAACAAGGAAGGAATTACTTAGGGAAGTCACCTCTCCTCCTTTTCAAAACAAATGTGATATCTATAGTGTTGGACTCACAGCCTTGTAAAGCCTTTGAGTCTTCCTGTGACATTTGGCCTAATTCAGACCTTTCCTAAAATATCAGGGCCAATGTAGAGTGGTAAAAAATGAGAGGAATATGGAAAAGTGTCAGAGAGATTAATAAGATTATTTAAAAGACTGAGAGACACTGGAGAAAAGGACAGAATTTCTCTGGAAAAGATTAGAATTGTGAACAGGACAGGTGTAGAAACAAAGTCCGTAGCTCAACATGCCCCTCCTGCATGTTGGGAGAAATATTCTCTATTTTAATACCTAAGCATATGCTACTCATCAGCACCAATGTGTCCATATACCCAAGAGGACACCATATGTCCTGTCTTGGGGAAATTCTACTGCTGGATTCCCTTTCCCCCAATCCCAGACGCACCTGTGCCAGAGCAGCAGGTGAGTTCTGAAAAATGGCCTGAGGCAGGAGCTGCTCTGTGAGGTCACAGGATGATGGAACAGGCAGAGGAGCCTGGGGAAAAGAGAGGCTCTGTTAACAGACACTTTTTCCGGGTCATTACAGAGGTACAGGGGTGCTGTCTCTCAGCCAGCTGGGTTTCCTGGCTTAAAGGAGGCCCTTATGTACTAGAGTGAAGAGCTCACTTCTGAAATGTGTAGGTGTGTGTTTCCTGTTAAATGGTGGGATGGTAGGCTGGTGTAGGGAGCAGGTGGTCCTTGAGCAAGCTCCCAAGGTCACTCAAGGTGGGTGGTGCCTCCCACCAGAGTGTGCTTTGCAAATCTGCTGCTACCTGCCAGAAGTTGGCAGCTCTGTGACACTTCCCCTCCTTTGTTTCCTCTTTACACTCTGTTCCTGGTGGAATTGGTTGTCCTCCCTAACTAATAGTTCTTAGCAGTGTCACTGAGCAGTGTGAATGAGGTTGTACTGATAAGAAGTGGTGCCTTTGTGTGAAGTCCTTACCCTTTTTGCTCAATACTAATGCAGGTGGACAGACATGCCATGCACATCTACGTCCTTGAACTCATCTGGGCAGTGAATAGGGGTGCAATTTGTCAGACTCTGCCTGGAATCTGTTAGACTCCTGGGAAGTCCAGGGAGTGACAGACCTTGTTTTCTGATTACTTGGGCGGGTGGAGAGACAATGCATAAAAAAATAAATGAAACCTTCAGCAACACAGGCTGAGTTTAAAAAGAAAAGTAAAAGGGTTCTTCTGAAGTTATTCCAAAACTATTCCCTAGACACTGTAAAAAGCAGCCAAAATGGAAAGTGCCATCAAGACAATATGGGAGGATTCCACTGTGTAAATGTAGCATAGTTTTTTGATCCATTCATTTACTGATGGGCAATTAGGTTGCTTCCAGCACTTGGCCATTGTAAATTGGGCTGCTATGAACATTGGGGTGCATAGGTTCTTTTGGATTGGTGTTTCAGGGTTCTTTACTATGTAGCAGAAAGAAAGAAGGAACTCCTACCCTTTGCAACAGCATGGATGGAACTGGAGAGCATTATGTTAAGTTAAATAAGCCAGGTGGTGAAAGACAAATACCATATGATCTCACCTTTAACAGGAACCTAGTCAATAAAACAAACAAGTAAAATATAACCAGAGATATTAAATTAAGAACAATATGACAGTAACCAGAGGGGAGGTGGGAGGGGATAATAAGGGGGAGAGAGGAAGGGTTTTCAGGAACAATTATAAAGGACACATGGATAAAACCAAGGGGGAGTGGAAGTGAGGGACAGAGGTGGGAATGGCTGGGGTGTGGGAGAAGTGGCAGGTGGTAAATGCAGACAACTGTAATTAAACAACAATAAAATAATTTTAAAAAAGACAACATGGGAGGAAATGACAACAGAAGACTTTGTTTTGAGTGAGAAGTCCCAGGCACATGGCTAAACCAAAGAACTGGTTTTGATTTTCCCAACTGTGTGGGCACCAGTGGCAGGAAGAGTTCTCCTGGGCAGCCATGTGTAAGTGGAAGGGCAATCACAGCTTACAAAGCTTGTCTAAGTGAGGCTGGAGAGAAGGAAAGCGGATTTTGTTATCATACTCTATTTGAAAAGAAAATGGTGTCACCTATGCTTTTCAAGCAGTGTGTACATAATTTTTGTGGTGATGATAAGCAGATTTACTCCCATTTCCAAAATGTCAATGAGAAATGGGTATGAGGTATTCTAGATGTGGCCCTTAAAATTCTTGACACTTCTTCTGTCTAGAGGTAGAGATCTATGTCTCTTTCTTTGAGTGAGTATGCGACTGCTTTGAGCCAAGATGTCAAGAAGTATGGTAGAGGTTATGATGCTGTGGACCTTTCAAGGCTAGGTCAGAAAAGGCCATGCAGCTCCCTCTCTAGGCATTACCTTTTGGAACTCAGTCACTGAGCCAGAAGAAGCCTGGAACATGGAGAGGCCTATGCAAATCAATGGTGGATAGTCTCAGCTGGGCCCAGCATTCCACCAGCCCAGCCCAAATGCTAGACATATTAGTGCAGACACACCTGGAATGAGGTTCCCAGTCTTGGCCAGGGAAGCCTCTGACAGCATGCAGCAGGCCCTTTCTAAATTCTTGACCCAGAATCCATGAATGTGAAAAGTGGCTGTTGCTTTGTGTCTCTGAGTGGGACAAGTTTGTACATGGCAGTAGATTGCTGGAGTGCTGTTCATCAGTGATTCTCCAGGCAGGATTGTGCTTTCTAAGAGGCTGCTCATGGTCTGGCTTTTGGAGAGCTCTGGCGTGTATCAAGGACACTGCCTGGTGTATGCAGAAGTATATTTTGGCTGACAACCAAGCTTCTCCCACATTTTCACTGGAGGAAAATGTGATCCAAAATGGGAGGATACTAATCATGCCCCCCAGAGCATCTGGGGGTATTACCCCAGGTTTGAAGTTTTGAGTTTCATATAGATTTTGAATTTTAGGAATATACATCCATTAATTAATTTTAGTGTGAAAATATTTAAAATTAGTTGGCAATACAATCACCTAGCTTCCCATCCCCACCTGCCACCCAACACTCTCAGTCTTTAAGTGGAACTGGCTATCCAGGCAGATGCAGCACAACATCTGTGGTCCTGCAGGCTTGATACAGTATTGCATGCCCTGGTTAAGAAATCTGGGGCCACACACATACCGGTATCATGGCTGCCTGGCTGAGCCCTCGCATAGGGAGCTCATAGGGCAGGACAGCCAATCTTGGCAAAGCCGTGGTGCTGGCCTCTGTCATCATCTTGCTTGGAATGGCTGGAAAAAAGCAACAGATCACCTTCTTGACTTACACGTACTTAACCGCTTTCTAATCTAGAGGGGACAATGACGCTGCATATATGAAAAAAGGGCTTGACTGCAATCTCTGATAAAGGAAGTCCAGCAGAAACTGAAGTGGGTTCCAGAGCCACAACGTTCTGCTAGCTTCCACTTGGCCCCTGAGCCAACACATGACAGCAGACCATCTCCACACTTCATCTCTACCACTTGCTTCAGCCACCTGCCTGACCATTTTCATCTTACCAGAGCTACTAAAACCTAGCCAGCTTATCAAATCTGTGTATCACCTGTGTTATGTCTGCTTCACACACTGAAGTAATCAGGGCCTGGAGAGGTAGAAGGCAGGAAGCCCATGGGAAAGGAAGCAGGAGTGTAAACAGAGTGTGCACTTCTGCTCCATAGGAACACACAGGCCTGATTCTGCTCAGGCCTGAGGCCCTTCCTGGGGCTCTGTTCCCCTCAGCCCCAATAGGGTGCCCACCCCTCTCCCAATCCACATCACTGTACTCACAGATGGATTCTGATATGGCTGTGTGCGAGGATTTATGGGAACTTCTTGAGGATACTAATGGCAAGTAACTTGTGTTAAGGCATGAGGCGTCCATATGAAGTGCCTTAAAGTGCTGCTGAGGTTCCAGGCTTGAGCCCTAGTCCAGAAACAAACATACATGTACATACACAATCCACATTTTAGCATCAAGATGATGAAAGTGAATCACATAACTTCATTCATTCATTTATTTATTTTTATTGTTGTTCAGGTATGGTTTTCTGCCATTTCCCCTCACCCCTCCCCACCACCCCAGCCCTCCCCACGTCCATCCTTTGTTTCCACACCCCCTTTGTTATTGTCTATGTGTCCTTTATAATTGTTTCTGCAAACCCTTCACACTTTTCCCCTATAATTCCCTCCCCTGTCCCCTCTGGTCACTGTCAGCCTGTTCTCAATTTCAATGTCTTCGGTTATATTTTGCTTGTTTGTTCATTTTATTGATTAGGTTCCTGTTAAAAGTATTTATCCTATGGTATTTATCTTTCACTCTCTGGCTTAATCACTTAATATAATGCTCTCCAGTTCCATCTATACTATTCAACATAGTATTGGAAGTCCCAGCCACAGCAATCAGACAACAAAAGGAAATAAAAGGCATCCAAATTGGAAAAGAAAAAACAAAATTGTCATTGTTTGCAGATGACACGATAGTGTACATACAAAACCCTATAGACTCCACAAAAAAAACTTCTTGACCTAATAAATGAATTTGGCAAAACAGTGGGATACAAAGTCAATATTCAGAAATCAAGCATTTTCGTATACCAACAATGAAACATCAGAAACAGAAACAGGAAAAAGAATCCCATTTGATATAGCAACAAGAAAAATAAAGTACCTAGGAATACACCTAACCAAGGAGGTAAAAGACCTGTATGCAGAAAACTACACAACACTGAAGAAAGAAATCAGTGAAGACACAAACAAATGGAAACATATATTGTGTTCATGTATTGGGAGAATTAACATTATCAAAATGTCCATACTACCCAAAATTTATAGATTCAATGCAATACCTATTAAAGTACCAATGGCATATTTCACAAACATATAACAAACACTTCAAAAATTTATATGGAACCATAAATGACCCCAAATAGCTGCAGCAATTTTAAGAAAGAAGAGCAAACTAGGAGGGATCACAATACCTGATATCAAATTGTGTTACAAGGCCACCGTAATGAATCACATAACTTTAGTTCTCCACTAAATATGTAGGAAAATGTAAAAGTTGTTGAAAGAACTCTTGTAGCTGTTTGGCAATAATAGCAAACTCCCTTGGGCAGAATATTTATATGTCTCCATAAATATAATCTTTGAGAGAATTGCAGTTTATCAGTAGTTATTACACTTTCTCACCTTGTATCTTACTTTCTTAGATTTTTGTGACTTTGCAGTTTATTTTTTCCTTAAATTTGTCATCTTAATGCCCAAAATTTTGACTTCCCCAGAAGGAGGAAAGAAGCAGGTTCTAGATATAAGGTTGCCGGTGGTACTAGATTGTGAGCACTCTGAATGAAATAAGTACCTCTGGACTCTTGGTCATTTCCTATGCTCACTCCCACTGCTTGCTCCTCCTCTGTAGCCTTTTGGGTTCCCAAGAGCAGAAGGGGCAAACAGCTAATGGCCCCCTAGCCTTGGACCCCTGGATTGTAACTGATGCTGGTTCCTTGCATTTCTGTTGCAAATACAGTGTAATGAGAAAGCATGTGACTTTCCAACACTGAGGAGCTATTTTTGCATCCTGCAAGGCATTACGTGTCTCAGCCATAAAAAAAGTAGGGAAAATAATTTTTAACTTAAAGAATAAATATGATAATGACTCTCCTGAGCCATGTTCCCACTTAGTCTTAGAGAGATGGTGAAACTCCTGGCTTCCACTGGGCTATGCAGACAGGTTGGTCATACCCGAAGGTCTCAAGGATTGAGAGACCTGAGAACCTGGTCTCTTAATTCCTGTGGATCCACATGGTCATTCTGTCTCTTAGTTATGGCTCCAGTGAGAGTGAATGCTGTGTATGTGCTCGTGTAGGTCTGAAATGATTAATGTGTGACCTACAGACCTTTGTGTAAAACAGAAATACAGGATGTGCTTGGCTGTGCTAAGTGCCAGTTTTGAGACTCTGCTTTTTAGTCACAGAGTCTCCCCTAGATAAGACTTTGTGGGGGGGGGGGTGGCCCTGGACCCTCCCTGGCCCATGATCATTTACAAACTGTGTGTTCCTAGTCCAAAGAGAAATAAGTACAGAAAGTGAGATTCAATACTGAGAAACTTTTATAGCCATTTGATGCCACCACACCTCACAGGAATCTGTCATTTACACAAGCAGCAGTCAGTGACATATTTGACATAAAAAAACCCAACTAGTCCATTACTACTGATAGTTTGAAAAGCATTGTCCTAGCACTTTTCCTTTAAAAGGACCTCATAACCTGGCACCTAGACTGTATTTGTGTATTTACACATATGTGCATGTTTATAGGAAGACTTTCCACTGGGCTCTGGGATTCCTAAAGGATCCGAAATTCAATAATAAATCTCTGACTGGATTATATACATTAATCCTGTTCTTCATTAATCCTGTGGTGTATGGTGTGTCTAACATCCACCTATGAACAGCTTAATTCCATTCTTGAACATCATGCATGATGCATTATGTGACATAGCTGGCTAACAAACATTTCTATAAACAATGACAGGTGGTCATATAAGGATTCTGGTAATGAATCACCCTACAATGCACCCCATGTAGCAGCCAGCGAGGAGGCTCTGCAAAGATGCTGGCTGCTATTTGTCCTTTAAAGGAGATTTTTCCTTCCTCCCAACTTGGTCCTGGATAGACCACAGATGCCTTTGCTGGACTATTATTACTGTGTCAGCCTTGGCCAAAACTCTGGATTCTAAGTCAATGGGCAGCCTGGAACTTGAACCATATTCTAACAATTCTAAGATATTTTGACATATCAGAAATTGAGATATATTCTTCAACTTATGAAAGAAATCCTTATTTCATAGATTGGCAGAATTTTTTTCTTAGTGGAGGATAAAATAATGGTAAAACATATAATTGATAGCTCCTTAGTTTTGATGGAACACAACACTCCCTCCCTTTCTTGCTTTCTCTTTTTTTCCCCAACATTTGTGTCTACTTGAAGAATGGCCTTTGTGGAACAGGGCTCTTTTATATCTGCAAGTGGCAGAGATGGGGGAAGCCTGGCCAGAAGGAACCTGGGAGCTTAGCCTGGGGCAGGAAGGAGTTCCAGTTTCATGAATGAAAATACTTCAGCTCTGGCTGTTAACTAGACCCAGACACAGATAAGGGAATTGCTAGGAGAAGTGGGTGAGCCCTGGAGGCAGTGTAGCAACACTGAGTCTAGGGGAGATACAGGGGCCCCTGAATTATTTCATGGTCAGTGGGATGACGGAATAGCCCGTTTTTTTTCCTGTGGGAGAGATAAAAGTGTAATTCTTATAATTATTCTTGGAAGCCAGAAAGTTGCCAAACCATGTTTTCAGTCTAGAGGCTGTTTTTAGCTCAATGAGTTGTAACTCTTGGTGTCTTCAGGATGTTAATCACCCTCGTGTGCTCTGTCTCATCTGAAGAATGAGGACTGAGGACAGTAACAGTGCCCACCACACAGTAACACCATGGAAGGAAATAAATGAATACCTTGAAACCATATTGAAAAGTACTGGAACACAGCAAGAGCTCATAAGGCAAGAAATGCTGTTTTTATTATTCTTATTTTTATGATAACTCATCTGATGGGGATCAGCATACCTTTAGTGCTGAAGGGTGGATTGCCTCAGATGGGGAGTCTTCCAAAGCCAGCTCCTGCCTCCTTTCCACCCGGACATCTGAGTAACTAATCAAGAAATCAAGAGACCGCAGCTGGACATGGGGCAGTCCAGGATGATGTGGCAAAGAGGGCTGCATGATGTATGGAGGGCTCTATGTGATGACCTTCCTAGAATAGTCACCATGAAGGGGACTAGCCCTGGTGCTTGTATGAGAAGGAAGTTTCAACCTGTGCCTAAATTCCACTGTAGTGACTTCTGATTTGACAGCCAGAATAGCTTCTTTTTTAGGATATTTTTATTCTCTTCTTTACTTACCTTCCCCATCCCCACAAACCTCCAAACATACTTGTCCAATCACATTTTCACTTACAGGGTAAATCTCAGTCTTCAAATAATTAGAAAACTTTCTTAAAATCTACTGAGTCTAGATTTTAAGAAAGCCAAGATCAAGTCTCTGACAGTGTGCCTATGAAATGATGTAACTTTTTTAGTAATTACAACCTTCAGAAAATTTTCTCTCAAACAAACCCAGAACTCTAGCCAGACCCAGACTGTTGATTCGTGTATGGAACCACTGTGAGTAAATCAATTCAATGTGGTGACCGAGTTATGGCTTGTGTGGAGATGCAGGCTGGGAAAGGACCTTGGAAAGAGACAGTAGCTCTGGAGTCTCCAGTATGCTTCTTGTCTTATTTATTCACTCAGTTCACACTTCACTTTCTCTGAAAGTTTCTTTTTAAGATTTGCAAGGTGGAGGACGGAGAGGAAGAGCATGGGCAAGGAAAGAGTCTGAAGAACAAGGTGTTAATGATGACCAGCTTTCTCTGAGGCACAAGGACCCTCTGGAAAAGGCACAGGCTGGTAGCAGTGGGTGGGACTGGCTGCTGAAGTACCCAAGGGTGGGCTAGGAAAGTCAAGATCAAGTCCCTGAGAGTGGGCAAGTGATACGATGAGCAGGTACACAGGCCAAGAAAACTAGCACTTTTCCTCTCTGTTCTCTCCCAACTTACTAAAGAGTATTTACTTGTTGACTATTTAGTATGCAGCCATCTATCTAGGTGTTCATACACATGAACATAAATACTTATCACTATCAACTGTAAGCACCAACAGATATTTATCAACTATGTTTTATATATACATATATAAAATATAGTATATATGAATAGCATCTGCATATACGTATCTATCATCTATCTACCTATCATACATGATCTATATATACAGCACATATATGTAATATCTATTGTGTGTATTTATCATTATCTATCACCTATTTATTTTATATATGTATAAAATGCAGCATGCATATATATACCTGTCAATCTTAACTAATCTTTTTTTTTTGCTCTCTTTAAGTGCTCTTCTCTAAACCAGTTTAAAACTGGTTGATTAAGAATAATTGATATTGATTAATTTTAAGAATAATTGATATTCTTAAAATTTCTGTAGTCAGGGGAAAAATGACATTTGTCCTATACCTTTGGGAATTGTGAACTGACGTAGGCAGCATCTACGAAGTGCTAGATGTGCTATCTCCATTGGACGTCCTGGTTCCCCACACTGGGCTGGGGCTCCCTGCAGCCCCTAAGAACTGCCAGAAACCTGTGCCCACTGGCCTCCTGGCTCTTTTCCCAACAGAGCCTCAGTTGCCAGCAGGGGTTTTTTAAGCATTTAAAATAAAGGGGACTATGTGTTTGAGCTATTTAGAGGCAAAACTTAAATTTTTTTCTCAAAACAATGATAAGGTAAGAATGGGGTATGGACAGAGATGAGGGGAAAATGTGTAAGTAGGTCAGTGAAGCAGTTACTTACTAAGTGATGTTCTGGGTTGCCTGAAAGAGCTCATGAGGCTTCAGAGAAACCTGACTGAACACTTGAAGGAAGTCTGAGCACGGGGGACAGAATGGGGTATATGCCTGGGAGGGTTGAGCTCTGGTGATCACTCTGTCAGCTGCAGAGTGTAGCTCTGACCAGTGGAAGAAGTCCGGCCTGGAGCTTGGTCCTCAGAAGCTGGGACTACCTGAGGTCACCAGGGCTCTAATGGATCTATTAGGGGCCATGTCCCCACGCACCTGATCACTGAATGTGTGCACACGATGAACTCAGGCTTGGAGTTCCACTGATGGTAGGTGATATAGTAGTGGGTCTGCAGCCAAATCCACTGCTGGCCTTTGGTTAGAAACCGATAGCAACATGACTTCCCTTTACCAAACTGCATCACTGTTGGTAGAAAATGGAGTCTGAATATAATAAATGTTAACACAAAAATAATCTTTTTGAAAATAAGCTTTCCAAAAGACAGTATCAGACATTGTATACTTCCCCAGTTAGTGCTGTAGTTAAGTGACTAGTGACTATCAGGATAATGATAAACAATAATGAATTCTTAAACAATGGAGGAGTGATCTATATGCTTTCCTAAATACCCAAAAGCTTAAAAATCATCAAATATTGGCAGATACAGACAGTTTCAAGCTGGGGGTTTAATTAGAAAGAGACCCAAAGATATGGTACATATCTTCCTGCTGCATGTAGTGCTGTCTTTGGAGCTGCAGGATAGAGAAGCCAGACACTGGGAGAATGGACCCCAGAGCAAACCTACTGGCCAGGGTCCTCTGGGCTGAGTTGGCCACCATCAGTCAGTAGTTCAACCTTAGTCTACATGGTTCTAAGACAGTCGCTACAGATGCCATATATCCCAAGTCCACTGCTGCAGGGCCGTGTGTACCTGTGAGGCTGTTGGGGGCTTCTCTGGACATTCTGCAGGGGAAAATAAAGGCTGTTGAGTTATTAGCCTTGGAGAGCAGGGAGTTGAACTGTGGGTCCCAGGAAGAAGAACCATTTTGGTTTTATAGCCACAGTGCCTGGACTTGAGCACCTCTTTGTGGTTAAGAGAAATCCCAACTAGGAAGCTAAAGCTACAAAAGGAGCTTCTGACTTGGGGAATATGATATCTGAAGAGGAGGAAGGCCCAGCCTATTAAGGGAGTGGGATGGATGGTGCAAGCATGCTTTGCCAGAGCCCCAGATGCTGAAGGGGATTCTACAGCCACAGCCTTTCATGTGTCCTTTCTCTGTGAGAGAGGTAGAAGTAGCTGAAGGCTTGAAGAAGTCATGCTTCTCAACTTTTCAAGTGCCCCCCAGTCACTTTGGCATCTTGTTAAAATGGAGATTCTAATTCCATCAGCTGGTGGGGAGAACCTGAGAGTTAGCAAGTCGAGCAAACTTGTGATGCCACGTGGCTGCTTGAGGACCACCCCTGGGGAGCAAGGAGTTAAAGTTTTGGCAATTAATCTTGAATTCTAACAGTGGTTCCTGATGAAACTCAAGCCTATTCTTCCTTGAGCAAAGACAGCAGAGAAGAGAAAGTTATTATAATGGGCACTACAGTCAAGGCATCTATGAAAATGCAATGTTGGGCCCTGGCCAAGTGGCTTAGTTGGTTGGAGCACTGTCCCATGCACCAAACGGTTGCAGGTTTGATTCTCATTCAGGGCACATATATAGGTGGCCAGTTTGACCCCTGGTCAGGCATGTATGGGAGGCAACCAAATGATGTTTCTCTGTTTGTCTGTCTCCCCCTTCCTCTCTAATATCAATAAAAATATCCTCAGGTGAGGAGTAAAAGAAATGCAGTGTTGGTGGTCAATCCATGGATCAGGATCCACAGGTCAATGTTACTACAAATCTTCCAGTACAAAAGTAGGGACTTGGAACCAAAAATATGACTTTAAATGGTTAATTTTTAAATTCTCTTGTTAAGTGAGAATGAAGACATGGTTGTAGTTTTCCCTTACCCCACACCAGGAGTCCTGCCTCCCATACTTTTGCCAAGTGTTCTTCTCTGTGCAGAAAACCTTCCTGATGCTTCTGCCTTAGCTGGATGAGGGACCCTCCTCTGAACTCCCCAATATCCTGTGTACCTCTCTGTTGCTATACCAACAACATCCTATAAAGTCACCTATTTCTGTGTTTTTATCAGCCTTTGTTCCTACAAGCAGCAAGAAGAGTCTGATCATCTTTATATCCTGGGCCTCTCTAATCATCTGGCCTGTGGCTTAGGTCTAATACTTGTCTTCTGGCTAAAGAAAGGTATGTAAATTCAGTATTTTGTGTTTGAAATACTATATTACATAACTTTTTAAAATGGCCAGTACCTTTACATTTCTTTAAGATTAAACAGCTCGTGTATGTGAGGGATACTGGGAAGATGCTGGGGTGTGGCCAGGCATCAATTCTAGGTGAAAACACACACAGGGTCATCCAGACAACAACCTCCATTATACTCCTGGGTCATTTCAGAGAAGATGAAATCTTCCACCTCAGAAAGAACCCAAGTAACAAGTGGACTTCCAGGCTAGGAGTCCTGCCTACAGGTCTCTATGGACAGGGTGAGAAAGCAGTACTCACAGTGCTGGTGACACCTAGCAAGGAGCTCCAGATCATCAATGTGGTAGTAGTCATAACCTGAGGTTCCCAAAACTTCGAAAGGAAGGTATCCTATTATTGGAGGGGCTCTGCCAAGAACAATGGGATAATTCATCAGAGAGGACTCACTATGGTGGCCGCACCTCAATGCTGAGGGTATAGTTTGCACATATAATGATACACAGAGGCCTGTTTCTCAAGAATAGGAGGAGAAAAATAATTTTGCATTGATCAAAGCCCAAGGGGTGTGTATTCCAAAGTACTAATTTTTATATAGGTACTCAGTGCACTTGGCATAACCTGGCCCAAATAATAACAAAATTTATCACAACGGAACAATTAAAAACAGCTATAGATTGAGTCTGCCTAACTCCAAAGTGTAATAAAAAATTAGAGGATGGGGAGGGGAAATTGCTAGTTCTTAAACTGTGAAAAATGTCAAAAAGAAAGAAGATTAGGCTAAAGAGAAAAAGGAGTTGAAAGAAATAAGATGAGAAGTTTATCTCACTTCTGTTCCTGCCTTCCTGGGAGCTGGAGAAACTTTCCATTGGTGGAGGTGGGGGATGGGGTTGTATCCCAAAGATGTCCCCAGGCTGCAGTGTCTGGCTCTTCTGAAATGGTCTGATCCAAACACAGAATGCATCCATGGATATGGACAAATGCGATAGAAGGCAAACTGCCTAACCCTTGGCTGGGAAACACTTTTCCTTCTACCAGGCCCGACCTTTTTCACCCCAACCCAGATATGCTTTTCTTTTCACACACCTGTGATCCAGAAATAAAAACTTCCATTCCAAGCTGTGCCTTGAAGTGAATTCCTCTAGAGTTTCATCAGCTACACACATTTCCTATATTAGAAGGAAGAAAGTGTTGCCTGAGGTGACAGACGCTCACACTAGAGCTGCTCAGGATGACTGGTGAACAAAAGAAGTTACAACTCTTCAGACCAAGTCTTCAAGTTGTGTTGGACTGAAGCTTGTCATCTGTAGCTAATCTGGGTATTAGCTGATACAAAATTTATTTCACAAGTGGGGAAAAATAACTAGGAGCTAAAATGTCACACCCCTCCCTTCCCATTATCTCAAAGTGTGGTAAACATGTGGAAAATGGCTTTTCATCTTCATTTGAATTACTAATTTAACTCAACGTTCCTGCCACAGTCACTAAAGCAATTATAGACAGATTTCAGACAAACCCTCAGTTGACACTTAGTTCTCACCTCTGCCTGCCCTGAGTGGTATTAATGTTGGTATGAAATGTAGGAAGATTTATGAAGCTCTAAAGAAGCATCTCCATAGGCTAAAGAGTGATTGATGCCTTCAAACAAAATATCTCCTAGGAAGTGCAGTTATGAGAGACAGTATGTGGGGCTGTCAGAGGTAAGGAAACCAGACATTTCAAATTTTTAGTGACAATATCCTTGTAATTTAATTTTTTCATAAAGACATTATTAAATATAAGTAAATGGGACTCAACTATAATATTTCCACAGGATAACTTCTCTTCCAGGTACTTACCTTTAGGAATTGTGGTGTTGCTAGGTGAACAGTGGCGATGAAGCAGACCTCCTTTCCTAAAGGTACCTGGCAAGGCCTTAGAAGGGCACTGTCAAAACGCCCTCCATTACAGGAGGGGCTAGGCACTGGGGAGGGAAGGACACAGGTTAGCCCATCTGTGCAGCAGCCAGCCTGCCTGTATTCCTGTGAACCAGCACTGCACTCAGGGCTTTGTGAACATTAAGTCATCTCATTCTTATAACTTGGGAAGTAGGTGCTGTTGTTACCCTACTGCATAGGAACTGAGGCACAAATGGGGGAAGCAACTGCACAAGACCACACAGAACCAGAATTTGAGTCACTAGTATACTACTTGCCTCTCATTTGCACTATCCTATAGCCACTTAAATGACCATGTTGGGAAAAATATTCTGCAAAATGAGAAGACAGCCTCATTCTGCACTTAGGGTTCAAATACTCACTCCAGGCAGTGTTTTACGGGTCAATTTCATAGTCTGTCAGTGTTTTTGATACTGATGGACCCAGGAAAATAACTTTGTCTTGGTACATGAACCTCTGCACCTGGTGTGGCACAGCTGGAAGTCAAGGGCGTCTGCTCTGAAACACCTCCTTAGGGTCCTGCATGAGGCAGGGCCTCAGTCAGGACTACTAAAGAGATAGCCTCAAGACTTAGGGTGATCTCCAAAGGTACAGTACATAGATAACAAAATCTGTTTACTGCCTTATTTATTCTCACAAGTCTGGGAAGGTGTGACTTTCTTCATATTAAGCAATGTCACTCAGAGTAGAAATAATGGAGCAGGAACTGTACCTAGGTCTTAGAGACTCCAAGTCCAAAGTTCTAACAAGGATGGTTTTAGGTTCATCCCACCATGATGCTGAGACTAGGCCCCACAGGCCTCCTGAGGAGGTGCCCTTGGCACTAGCAGCAGTTTTCCCTGGTAGCTACAGATTTTCCCTCAGGTTGACTGTGAACAACTGCTCTTTCTACCTTCCATGCCAAAGAACAATTCTGCTATAGCTGAATTTGTTGGGTGGGTAAAAGGATCCCGTTAAATATGAGAAAAGTCACCTTTCCATGTTCGCAAATTCTCACCAGTTCCCTGGGATCTTTGACATGGCTGCCTAGGCCCTACCTAGAGCAGTTAATTTAGAAACTTGGGGTGAAACCCAGGCATCAGCATTTTAAAACCTCCCAGATTTACTCATGTGCCCCTAGGATTGAGGACTACTGTCATAAATAATCTATATGACCACTTTCATTTTAAAGTAGTTGATTATATCCTGTACATTTCTGAATTTGTACATTTAAAGTTATGTTTTCTAGCCCTGGCTGGTGTGGCTCAGTGGATTGGGTGCTTGCCCGCAAATCAAAAGGTCACTGGTTGGATTCCCAGTCAGGGTACATGCCTGGTTTGCAGGCCAGATCCCCAGTCGGTGGCATGTGAGAGGCAACCGCACATTGATGTTTCCCTCTTTCTCCCTCCCTTCACCTCTCTAAAAATAAATAAATATAATATTTTAAAAAGTAATTTTTTCCAATTTGAGAACATATAAACATCAGAAAACAAAACACATTCTAAGATGATGTCTATAAGACTTTGGATTTTAGCTTTCCAACAATTTCTTACTTTATATGCGTATGGGTTTCTAAGTGATTAAATAATGTGGTGTTTTATCTATAGACATGAATAAATTCATTTTACCAAACATATTCTCTGAATGTATCCATATAACTAATGCATGTTTTCAAACATGACTATAAAGTGGGTAAAATAAAAAACACTGGTCCCAAGAGAGTTTGCATCTGTCATTAGTTGGCTTTGATCACTGAAGATTAATGTGTAGGGTAGGCCAAGGAACTTATCAAGGGAAAAGAAAGCAATTTCACATAAGGGAAGGGTTGCCAGATGTGAACATCTGCATGATTGAAAAATTTCGCAGATGTGAAATATCCTCTCACCTGGAATCTAAGAGACATCACCAGCCAGATAAACACATAATAAAATGATCCCTACTCTTTCAGAATATCAAGACCTTCCAAGCAAACTTCTAAGGATTTCCCAGGAATTTAAGAGAGTCTTTAATTTGACTTGAACCATGTGCCTTGTTTGAGGGATCCTTTCTGCTACTAAATTCATGTGTCCTTTCAGTAAGTACCTTCTTGGTGATTTACTGTGAGGAAGACAGGGACAAATGGAGTGTGAAATAAGCAACACCAGCCCCTAAGGACTTCAAGGGGCAAGGATGTGTATCATGGCAATTAAACGGGTGTTCTATAGAGCTTCCTGTTGGCCTGGCTGCCTCCCAATATAATTTTATCAACCCTTTTATAACTTCTAAAGCTTTGAAGATGAAAATGAATGTCTAAGGACATCCCATTATTGCTTGTACCCTGCAGTGATAAGCCAGGTATTTTAGAGAAGAGCCCAGAACCAGTAAATGAATCTTCTAAGCAAACCTATCCCCCAAACCTGAAGCAGTTGAGAGCTTGATCAAAAGAGAGTAAGTCAAGGATCAAAATTATAATGCCGGCCAAGGGGAAAACCTCAGGGAGAAACATGGGGAAGAAGTTACTTTAAACATTTTGCCACTGGTGTTTGAAATGACTTTCACTCTCAGTGCGAGCCTTCTTACAGTTTCTGGAGAGTCACCACGTGGGCACACTGCTCCCTGGGACTTCATAGTAATATTTAGCTATCTTATCCCCAGGTAGTTTAAAAACAATAATTAAAAATTTAATTAGCTGTTTCAGTTTAAGCAATTGAAAATTATATCTAATTACAACTGACTGCCTGAGCCTTTCAGAAGGATAAACCACTCAATGCAGGCCTAGCCCTGTTTTATCAGATCTCTGACCTTCTCAGCCTCCTTTCCTCTGTTCCTATCTCTGTCTCTCTCTCACACATACAGCACTCATGATAGAGATAAAAGTGATTATTTCTTGCTACATCCCCCCCAAGTCATCTTTAAAATTGATCATAGTGTTGTCCAAAGCTAAAGTGATAGCTTTCCCCATGGCAGAAACTGAATATAATTCTCTCTCTCCAACTCTGATCAGGCCTCTTGCAAACAGTAGGTATCAACAAATGTTTATGGAAAGACTCTCAAACAAGATGACTTTCCACCTCACATCCAAGCCATAGCTCAAAGCCCAGTTTGGGAAGACACCTTCTGATCCTTGTCAACAACTAATGGATAGACTTTGAGATCTCAGGGTGATTTTTCCCTCCACAGCCCAGCCTGGTGCTAATGGTTGCAGGCTTACCATGTGAGGATTCCCCTGGTGCTCAGTTAGCTCATTGCCCTACTCATACATTGATGCTGGTCAAAAGAATGCCTGAGCAACATCTGCTGCAAATCATCCATTTTTCAATCAGTCCATGGAAAGTGTGGGAGTGCCCACCGTGAAACCCATCGTCGAAGAGATGCAAGATGGGGCTCTGTTTTTGGTCTTCCTAATAAAAGTGTTCATGGAACCACAAGGACCCCTCCTCTTTCCTGAATCTGTTAGTACAGTCTCTAAATTCAGAGACCCTGAAAGAAATTTGCCTTGAGCTGGCATTCTTAGGATTCCAAAAATAAGATAGTACAAGGTTGTCCAGAGAATCAAAATGACTTGATTGTGCCCAGCATTCATTGGTTTCCAAGTCTGCCTGATGACAAAGGTGAGGTCCAAATAAGTCATAACAAGGAAATATAGATGACTGTAGGGGCAAGGAGAGTGCAGATGGTGTGAGAACTTGTTTTCCAAGGGGACTGGGAGAGAGAGGAAGAAGCAGGGATGGTCATAGTGAACCTTTGCTGACAGCAAGGAGTAAAAGGAAATGGAGAAAGATATACCAATACTCTTCTGCTCAGTATCAGTTCAGTCATCAGGTCTAAACAATTAAGCATTCTTATCAGAGATGGCCTGCTTATGATGACTTGCAACAGCTGCAGGAAGATACACAGTCCACAAGATGACAAATAGCTTTCTCAGTACTTCTTGGAATAAATGAAAAACAAAGCAGGCAGGTGTCTGAGGAGACATGAAACCATGTGAGGAGGTTTGCCAAAAGAAGAATGAAGTTTGTAAATCTCATTTGTGTTAAGTGTCTGAAAGACTGGGCAAGATTGTTGGAATGTTGAGAGGAAATAATGTTCTGCACATTCATGAGAAATCATCTCCCCCGTATTAAGCATGATTCCCAGACTCACATTTTTTTCTCTTCCCTGTGTGTGTTCCCCAATGTATTCTGAAAAGCCAGGTAATTGGGTTCTTGGGAGAGCAGCAGCACCATAATCTTGACCAGTGTTTGGCCTGGGGTTCTGCCTAACTTGTGGGGCTAATGTGTAGTTTTCTTTCCTTCCTGCCACTTATATTTGGCACAGGGAAGAACAATGTTGGCGGACAGAAGCCACACCAGAAAGCTGGAAGGTAGCAGCCTTCAATTGTTAGACTAAAGATCATATTCTAATGGGAAAATATACCTTAAATTTCTTCTTTCCTGTGGCATTCATTAATAAAAATGAGTCACTTTGAGGGCCAGGAGATGTAATGGCATTGACAAAATACCCACCAGATGGTGGGTATGGAACAGAGCCAAATTACTGTATGCTCAGGAAAGTGAACTTTCTGTAGGCTGCTGTGCCCTGAGCCACAGTGGGATATCATGTGCCCATTTTTTATCACAATTATTGGACAACCTATACCAAAGTCCCCTGTACCAGGCTGAAACAAGCATGAAGATAGTTAATAAATGTATGACCATTCCTTACTGTTCCATTTTAATACAGACTGAAGATGCTCTGACAGAATGACAGTCTTAGGTAAAAATTTGTTCTTTTTTCTGATCTTAATTCTTCTGTAATCTACTCTGCAGCAATGTGCACTGCTGGGGAAGAATATGAGCTTCATTGTCGGGGTAGCAGGAACAATCTGATCCTGATCCTTGGAGCTTGTGACAGAGACTAGATGAACCTGGCCTTACTGCACTAGACTCCCAGGTCCACTTCCAGTGAGGCTTGGCTAGCCTGCAATTTGTTTCTTAACTGAGACACATCAATGAATTCAGCTTAGGAAAAGATACACCAAAACAAGACCTCCAAAGCCAGAAAATGAGGCAACAAACAGCAATCTCAT